TTTTCTGGTCCATTTTGGCGTCTTAGTAACTAAGGCTTTCGTTTTGTTTTTCGCATTTTTTTGTTTTCCGCCATTTGATTTTATTGACCAAAAAAAAATTTTACGAAAAAAAAATCCACAATGGGCGCCACTACTACCAAAAAAACAAAAACCACTACAACAACTGAATTAGAATGATTCTGGTTCTTTTCTTTTCTTTTCTTTCTTTCTTGGTTATTATATTCATTTATACGATTCATTGAATAGCATCATCATCATCATTATATATGGAATATTCTGTTCGCTAACGCATCACTACCGCCACTACTACAAGTGATGCAGAATTTTTTTTCCATCAAATAATAATCATCAGAATGAATGATGGATAAAGGGAGAGAGAGAGAGAGAAATTCACATTCTATTCTTTGCGTGTGGGGGTATAGTATTTTCATATTGGAATGGTTTTTTCGGATATCAAAATCAACACACACACACACACACACACAACCAAAAACCCAAAAATATCTTTGGATATCGAATAGTATCGTTGAATAGAAATTTTCTTTATCGTTTTTTTTCATTCTCTCGGTTTTGGTTTTGTATGGTTTATTTTTGCATCTACGTCTTTTTTTTTTTTTTTTTTGGTTCAAACACACACGCATTCCCATTTAGTATTTCTTGATTTTTTTCGTTTGTTTTTTCATCCCCTTCCTTTCGAAAAAAAATAACGAAAACGAAAATTATATCTTTGGACCTTGGTTCGTTGCGCACGCTTGTCATCATCATCATTGATGATGTGAATTTTTAGTTTTATAGTGATAGGGTATGCGTTGAATCCAATATATTTTTTTTTTCCTTTTTGCTTTTTTTTTCTTCTTCCAGATCCAAATATATACCATACACACCAAACAACAACAGCATTCAATCACAATGAAATCGAGAGAAAGAACTTTTTCTCTCTATTAGTTTCAGTCTTCTTCTTCTTCTTTATCTTTGTTTCAGTATAAATAGCGAATATAATATCGTTTTTTTCTTTGCCTTTTTTTCTTTCTCACTAACCATACGAACATCAAATGAAGGTTTCTCTTCTTTCTCACACTATACGAATAGAAAAAAAATTCTTTGGATCAATGAAAACAAAACAGAAAGAAAAAGAAAAACATTGTCTGGTGTATGGAATTTATTTTGTACGCGCGCGTGTTTCTGTTTGTTTTTTTTTTCTTTTTTTCGATTTTTTTCTTTTTTCAATGGTATGTGTCTTTGACAGTTATACTATTTTTTTCCCGTTTGTACATTGGTTTTTTTCCATTTGTTTCTGGATAACAAACACGCCATAGTGAAACGGGAAGAAAGAATTTTCCCATTGTATCCATTGATTTTTTAAAAAAATTTCATTTTAAAAAACATACTGAACATCGATCTACATCATCAATGATTATTGCTGCAATATTTTTTTCAAATTGTTTTCTTCTGGAATTCTTGAATTCTGTGTTTGTTTGTGCAATATTCTTTTTGGAACGGTTTAATTTCGTTTTGTGTTAATCATATTTCGTCGATATTCTGTATTCAGTTTTTCTCTGTTTTCGTCGATTCTGTTTGTTGTTTTTCACAAATATTCCATATTTCATTCATTCATTCATCGATTCTGGTTATTTGATCAATGTTTTGAAATATTTAAAATGTTGTTGTTGTTTCAAAATTTTCCGGCAAAATGAAATAACAAAAACTGCTTTAGGACATTTTTTCGTTTGTTTTGTTCAAAAAGTTTTCATCAGTCGAAATTTGTTTTTTGCTGGAATTGACAATGGAATATTGAAAACAAAAATTTTGTGTATGTGATGTGCGTGTGTGTTTGTTTGTTTCTGTGTGTGTGTACGTTTGGTTGATGTAATCGATATCAGAATCAGCAATAATAATAATCTTTGTGTTTTTGTCAACGAAAGACAATAACAATAACATCGTAAGATGATGTAATGAGATTAATTTTTTTAAAAGTTTCAAACAAACAAACAAAAATAATTTTAACACTTACTTACTTACGCCACTCTCACACACAAAGTAAGTATTAATTTTCATTGATTTTTTCTCTCTCTTTCTTTACACATTTCTTTCATTGTCGAATTGGTTAAGTTTGTGGATGTTAAGCCGGAATTTTTTGTTAAAAAAAATTTATTTAATTATGGGTTGTTTGTTTTGGTTTGTTTTGGTTTTCTTTTCCGAAAATATCTCAGCACAATTCACAATATGTTCTAACCATAATCATCCGGTAAAAATTGGCTGGACAAATTTTTTCAATCTTTTTTTTTTTTTTTTTTTTGTTCATATTGACCCAAAATATGTTCATTCCAGATGCTAGACAGGGGAAAACAAAACAGAAAAAAAACAGCAGAGAATATTGTTGTTGAACAAAAAAAAAACATCATCGATCATTTTCTTTATTGATTTTTAATGGTCGAACGAACGAAGATGAAAAAGTGAAGAAAAAAGAAAATGAGAAAAACAATTTTGAATAAGAATTCAGAATTCTTTTCTTTCAATTCATATTGAATATTTTCGGGATTAATCGTTAATGTTTTTTTCTCGCTTTTTGTTTTTTCTTGTTATTCGTTTTGTTTTAATTTTCAATTCATAAAAAATAAAATATCATGCAGAATGGCTAGTTGCACAAAACACATCTGCATATGCGATTTTTGTCTCTTGAATTGCCAAAATATTTTGATTACCGAATTTGATTTCTGCCTATTACACTGAATGACACTAAATTAAAATTGAGGGATTTTTTTTCTCTCAATGTTTTTTTAGTTTTGATTATATAAACATCATACATAATCCAACAGCAAAACTTGAGTAGATTGAGGTCGTTTTCGGAGTGTGTGTTTGAATCAAAATCATGATTGTAAATCAATTTAGATTCAAGAAAAAAAATATTTTTTTAAATATAAACATTGAACCCTCCCTCCTTTAACAAAAACAAAAAATTATTCATCAAACCAAAAATTGACACACACAGAATTTTGTTTGTTTGTTTGTCGTTGTGTGTTTTGGGTGCATTCAGAGCGAAGAAAAGAAGATTTTTATTCTTGTTTCAAAAGGCCATGAAAATCTTTGTTGTTGTTGTTGTTTTGGATTGTTTGATTGTTTTCGGGTTAATCTAATAAAACTTAATTTGACTTGTCAATCATTCTTTGGTTCTTATTCTTTATCTTGTCGATAATTTTTTTTTCTCTACTTATAAGTTTGACAAATGACATTGACAATAAATACTAAGCAATAGTGGCTTAGTTTATTTTTCTATTCTATAACTATCCAGTCTTTTTCATTTGAAAACATTAATTTCATTCATGCCATTCATGTCTAAAAAATGACTAATTATTCTTCTTTTTAATGTTTCGATCTAGTTCACGAATCTCATCAACTACCACTGGGTTATTTTTACCATTAAAAAAAACTGCCTAATATCTTCCATTTTTTTTCCTCTTCTTCTTTATTATGATTATTCAATCATAATAATCATAAAAAAACGATCGTTTTTCATGAGAAAAAAATAAACTTTTGAAAATTGAAAATTCATTCACCGAATAATAAAATATTTAAGTGCACACCCTTCAACGTTAACTGACAATCGACAAAACAAACAAGCATTGAAAACAACAAGATATAGAAGAGAAGAATATTGAATAAAAAATAAAATAAAAAAGAAAAACCATTATAAAACACTACAACCATTGCTGAATTAAGTAGCCGATTTTCAATCATCAGTGGCCGAAGATGGCCAGTGATGAACAAAATGGGTGGTGTACGTCGTGGTGTACGTGGATCATTCCGTGGTTCATTACGTCGTTATGGTAGTGCAGAATATTCACGAAGACCATATAGACATCATAATTGGATATTTCGTAATGGTGAATGGCGTATTGCATTTGGTAAGTTTTCTTTTTTATTATTATAAACACTATATCTATTTTATTTTCCGACTAACCATTTGACAGTAAACATAACATATAATATCAATTCGGAAAATTCTTTCCATTTTTACATTTATCCACATACAAACAAAAAAAACAAAAACATGAAAATCATTTCCGAACAACAACAACAAGCCAATTACAAAATGTACATCTGTTTTTTCAAAATATAGATAGAATTACATAACCAATCGATTGGTACACTTTTTTTTTGCACATTCGCATATTTGTTTCTTTTCTCACACATATTTTATCAAAAAAAAAAAAATGATGCCCGAATTTGAATTTATTTTATTGAAATGCACCAAACAACACTGACTGACATAATATCCGTTTAAATCAATTATCATTTTGAATGAAAAAAAAAATTTCAATGTCCCTATGCTCGATTTATGGATGGTCGTTTTTCGTGTGTGTGTTTTGTGTTTTTCTCTATCTCTATTTTTTCATCCATTCAATCTTGATGAACCAAAAATTTTTTTTCTCCACTTTCTCGTTCTAAATGTCTATCACTATTGATTACATGTTATTAATCGATTCTTTCTCATTCTCCATCTGCTTTTTTTCCTGGATATCTAGAGCAAGAGAGAGAGAGAGAGAGAGAGAAAGAGCAATATTTTTTATGCTCGTTTTAAAAAAAAGATAATAGGTATTCTGTATAGAAAGATAGATAGTTAGTTAAGAATTCCTAGAAAAAAAACGACTTTATTATCGAAGGAACAAAAAAAAGTTTTTTAAAACAAAATTAACCCATTCAAATATTCAAAAGAATTTTTTTTCTTTTTTACAATGAATATTGTCTATAAAAAAATGAAAAAAAAAAATTTTTTACTTTGATTATTTCAATATGATGACAAAAACCTTCTCTCTCTCTCTCTCTCTCTCTCTCTCTCTCTCTCTCTCTCTCGCTC